GCGCCATGCCACTTTGCCAGTCATACACACGTTTCGATGCGTGCCCTGTCAGCTGCTTGCGTTGCATGTCGCCTTGCTCCACCCCTGTTTTATTGCTTTCTCTGCTTTCGCCCGGTTCCCGTCCCGTTTCGGCGGGGAGTCTATGTTGCAAGCTAGTTCTTGCTTTACCAGACTTTAAGCCCACACAAGCAAGGTCCTAGTCGTACCCGGGCACTCCCAACTCAAGCCTGTTGCTAGCAGGTACAGCCAGGAAGGAAGCCATATAACATTCAACTATTGTGTTTTGTCAAAACGAGCGTCCATTTGTGGGCACGGTGCGCCTTGCAGCACAGGCAGGCACGTTTTCTTAAAGTTGTATCACCACCGTCCAGCGCAGCTGCGCCGCTCTTCCTACTTACGCTCGCCGGCAATTACCGCGTGCGTTGCAGCGATGGCTGCAACGAGGCCGCGCGGCTTCGGTGACGACCAGGGCTCTGCACGCTAAGCGGCCCTGCTGCTCCTAGCGCACCCGCGGATGCAGCCTGAGGGCGAGGCGCCTGTTCCTCAGGCCCCCACGGTCCCCCAGGCCTCGCCGAACACTGCGGCACATCATGAGCGGGCCGGGTGCAAGGCCTGCGGGGGCTCTCTGGAGGGCGAGCGCCCCTACCACCGGGTGAGCATCGATTCAGGGGTCAGGCGCACCCGCAAAGACAGGTCCAGCGCTGCTGCAGGTGCCGCGGTGCTGCCAGTGGCGCCGCACTTGCGTGACACCCGCTGCCGTGTGGACCCTGCAGAGGTATCGAGTGTGCAAAGCCTGCTCTTTGTTGTCGGAAGTGGTTCTCAATGGAGAAACGCATCGATTTTGTCAGCAGGTGAGGTTGCTCGCAACCGCAAGATCGCTCATTCTGCTGCCCGAGTCGTCGTGCCTTGCCCCAGTACGCATGCTCATGCTTGCTTGCTGCCCATCGCATCCTGCAGTGCGGATCTTTCCACCCCATCCAAGCCTTCCAGGCAGACCAGCGCAGCTGCCGGGAGCAGCTTGCCCTGCACGCCGCACGCCGCCGCCGACGCCGACGCGAGCGGGCGGGCAAGCGCGCCAGCAGCACCAGCGAGGGCGGCGACGGCAGCGACGGCATCACCAGCTCCGGCGGCGGCGAGGGCGGGTCGAGCCACCAGGGGGACGGCAGCAGCCCAGGGCACCGCTCCGACGCCAAGCGCATACGCTCCTCCAAACGCCAGTTCCACCGCCGCCAGCAGAAGCAGCACAGGCGGCAGCAGGATCGCTTCAGCGTGCTGGCTGCAGGCCTAGGCATCCTCCCGGGCCCACACTCCCACCTGCAGGCCGCCCTGCACCACCTGGTGCCTCCACACCTGCAGCCGGCAGCCGACAGCAGCGGGCTGGACTCGCTGCTGCACCTGGCGCTGCCTGGCGCTCAAGGAGGCATGCAGCAGCAGCAGGTAGCCACCGCCCAGCTGCACCGGCAGGACATGCAGCCGTTGTGGCTGGCCGTGCAGCAGGAGGGGCAGCCAGCGGCGTCGGCGCGGCAGCAGCTGCAGCTGCCGCTGGAGGCGGGCGGGGCCCCACACCAGCTGGGGTGGGCCGCAGCTGGCGGCATGGCTGGCGCCGGGCATGCAGATGACGGCCCCGACGCCGGGCAGAGCGCGTACAATGCGGCACCTGCCCCCGGCCCCGCCCCGCTGGGCGGCGGCTCTGGCGATCTGCGCAGCCTGGGCCTCAGGATGGTTCAGATGGGGCTGGGCCTCATGGGGCCCGAGGCAGGCCCCTTGTCCGCAGCACTGTCTGCGGCATTGGGTAGCACGCCCGACACCGGCGACGGCACCCTGTGGCAGCCGCCGCAGCAGCAGCAGCACTTCGGCCATAGCTACAGCTACGGGCAGCTAGCGGGGCAGCAGCAGCAGCAGCAGCAGCAGCAGCCGCCTTTTGGCCTCAGCTACGAGCACCTGGCTGGGCAGCACAGCAGCGGAGGCGCAGCGGAGCCGGCTGAGCAGCCTGCTGCAGCCGCAGCGGCAGCGATTGTGGCTGCTGTGGCGGCGGCAATAAGCCCACAGGCAGCGCAGCAGCCGCCGCCATCACCACCACAGCAGCAGCAGCAGCAGCAGCAGCTTGCCGCCGACTCCACCTCGATGCTCGAGATGGTGCAGCTGGTGCTGAGCAGGGTGCAGCAAGCGGGGCAGGAGCAGCCCGACCCGGCCCCCGCCCAACAGCCTCCGCCGCTGCTGCCTGCCACACAAGGCCAGCCCCTGCAGCTCCCTGCCTCTCCCGGGGCGGCCCTGGGGCCGGCCGCAGCTGAGCAGCCGCAGGCCCAGGTGGCTGAGCCCACACAGGTGCTGCTGAGCATGCTGCGTGAGCTGGCGAGTGGGCACCCGGGGCAGCGCTAGACCCTCAGAGCACGAGTGTTTTTTTGTTTTTTCATCTGCCCCTCGCTCCTCCTACGAATTCATTTTTTATGTACATGTACGTGTACCACCTGACACCACTAAGGATGGTGGTACCCTGTCGCGGTGCCCTCCTGCTGCCATCCACCCACTCGCCCCTGCTAGAACCGTTTCGACTGTTTCGCCGTCACCGCTGCGTTGGGAATTCCTGGTGCCCTACCAAGGCCTCGCTACCGGTAGCGTGCCCCCTTCTGAATGTTATTTAAAATAAAGGAGCAGCGGCAGATGCAGAGACTTGTGGAAGGACTCTGGCACCCACCACCTGCTCTGGCATTGGGATGTGGAGGCGGCGCCTGCGCCCGCCACCTCTGCGGGTGCCCATGAAGAGCGGCAGCCAAAGTGCCGCCATGCGGGGCTCTCAGCGAGGGTCCCACTCTTCTCCTGAGCAGGACGCGCGATCGCCGCGACAATTCCGCTTGCCTGGGACTCGAGTAGACCCAAGCGATGGGGGCTCCTGCAGAACCTGGCACCCCAGCAGAGACGTCCCAGAGCGGCGGGGCAGCCCCGACAGGCGAGCGGGTTCAGGTCGCCGGGGCGGCGGCGGCGGCTCGACGCAGCTGCCGAGCCGTGCCACAAGCCATTGGGCGTCTGCTTCCCCCTCGGCCTGCCTGCGTCTGGGACCAACCCAGCACCAATCAATGTGGATTCCGCCGCCCCCGAGCCATGACCGCCTGGCACCCTGCCCGCGGCTTGTGTGCAGCAGGCGGCGCCGACGGCGGCGTCGGCGGCGTCAGGCCAGTGCGTCCTGACGAGCCGCCAGATGAATTCATCGATCCAATATCTCAGGTAGGCAGGCCGCGGCGGCTGCCAGGGCTGCGTTAGCTGTGGTCTTGGGGACGCTTCGGAGGAGGTCAGGTGAGGCGGCGCCCTGCTCGTTGCCTCACGGCTGGCTCCCCGGCCTCCTGGCCTGCACCTCCCAAGCTCACCTCCCAAGCTCACCAATGCTTGCCTGGCCTGCAGGAGTTGATGCTGGATCCGGTGCTGCTTGTGGAGACGGGCCAGGTGGGCAGGCAGCCCGCCCGCGCCGCTCCCCTTGCGCCGCGATGCGCTCTCCCCTGCACGCGCCCGCGCCGCCGCCGCTGCCGACGCCTGCCGACGCCCGCCCGCCGCCCGTGCCGCCGCAGAGCTACGACCGCCCCACGATCGAGGCCTGGTTTGCGCGGTGCGCCGAGGGCGGCCGACCCTGCACCGACCCGCTGACCCGCCAGGTGCTGCGCCACGCCACCGTCGTCCCCAACTTCTCCCTCCGCTCCCTGGTCTGCACCTGGGCTGAGCGCCACCGCATTGAGGACCTGCCGCGGTACAGCAAGGAGGTGGCCAAGCAGCGCAGCCGGGTGTACCGCGGCGCCGCCGCAGCCGCAGCAGCAGCACGCGCGGCTGAGGAGCTGGCGGGGGTGCGGCTCGGCGGCGGCGCGGCGGGCCCCGGCGGCGGCGCAGGCGGCCGGCAGGGTGGCGGCAGCCTGGATGGGCGTGGTGGCACCGACTGCGATGGAGGAGGAGGGGGGGGAGGAGGAGGAGGAGGAGGCGGAGGAGGAGGAGGGGGAGGTGGAGGCGGGCTGTATCCAGATCTGGGGCTGGGTGGGGCAGGGGAGGAGCCCCAGCACCACCCACACCAGCAGCAGCAGCAGCAGCAGCAGCAGCAGCAGCAGCAGCAGCAGTACCCGCCCGGCACCAGCGGCGCAGCCCCGGCAGTGCAGGGCAGCGGCATGCGGCTTGAGAGGGACCCTGTGGCGGGGGTGGGGCTGCCCTCGCTCTTCCCCTCAGCCCACCAGCCGCCGCCGCCGGTCGACAAGAGGGAGGCGGCAGAGGCGGCGCTGGCGGCGCTGCGGGCTGCGGCCTCGCACCGTGGCGGCGGCAGCGAGGGCGGCGCCGCCTACCATGCCTGGACCCTGATGCAGCTGGCGGGGGATGCAGAGGGGCGGTATCTTTTGTGGGAGGTGCGGTGCTGCCAGCAGGGCAGGCACTTTGGTCTGGGAGGAGGTCTGCCTTGGGAGCCTGCCCAGGCCGATGCATGCGACGCAATGGCTGCAATGGCCTGCCCGGCACCTCAGCAACCAGTGTCGGCTGCATGCCATCACGCGCCGCCCACCCCACCCACCCGGCCGCCTTGCCCGCAGGGCAACGCCATCCCTCTGGCCATCTTTGCCCTGGGCCAGCCGCCACCGCCACCGCCACCGCCGCCGCAGCAGCAACAGGGCGAGGCGGGAGGGCTGGAGGCAGCCAAGTCCGCGCTGTGCGGGGTGCTGCAGAGGATGGGGGCGCGCGACGCGGGTGCGCCTGCCTGCCTCCGCGAGCGCTGCATGCCCGACTCCCCGCCCGTGCTTGCCGGCCTCGCCGCTGCCTGCTAGCCATCGCACATCCTGCGCACAAGCAGCCGCACGCGTGCTGCGTGCAGCTAGCTGCAGCTAGCTGCAGCCCCGCACCCACCCTGTCGCCTGCCCCCACCCTCCCTCCCCGCCTGCCCGCAGACGTTGCATCCAGCATCGCACAGTGCGGCGGCCTGCAAGCCCTGGTGTCGCAGTTGACCGCCGAGCGGCCGGAGCTGCGCGCCGCCGCCGCGAGGGCTCTCTACTTCTTGGGCTGGCAGGGCCCGGAGCTCAGGCGAGCGGGGGTGCTTTATGTTGCTGTTGTTGTTGTTGTTGTTGGTGGTGGTGGTGGTGCTGCTGCTGCTGCTGCTTATTGAGACACACACACGAACACGCTTTCCAATTGGTGACCGGCCAGCTGCCCATGCGGTGGCGGGTGCAGGGCGAGCATTCTGGAGGCGCTGTCGCTGCAAGCGGCCGCCTGCCGCCTGCCCGGCAGGCCCCTGCTGGCCTTCTGGCGTTTCTGGGAGCGGCGGCAGCCGGCTGGTGCGGCCGGCGAGCAGCTTGGCGCCAGCTTGGCCGCAGGCAGGGAGGCGGAGTGGGAGCCCTTGGCCCTGCTGTTGCACATGCTTGCTGAGGGGTGCAGCGGCGGCAGCAGCAGCGTGACCGCAGCAGCAGCTGGGAAGGCGGCGGCGGCGCAGCAGCAGCAGCTGGCGCTGCTGGATGTGTCTGCGACCGCGGTGCCTGCCGTGCTGGCGCACAGCGCGGCGGCCAGCGAGGCGCCCGCCGTGCGCTTCGCCGCGGCCGCCGCCGCCAGGACGGCGGCCGCCCTGCCCTCCAACCTGCCGCTGCTGCTGGAGGCGGCTCTTCGGGAAGGGTCGCAGGCCGCCGCCGCAGCAGCCGCCGCTGCCGACGACGGCATCGACGGCAACGACGGCGACGACGGCGGCAGCTCGGTGGCTGGCCAGGCCTGCGCCCTGGCATGGGAGCTCTGCTACAGCCCGGCTCGCGGCGGCAGCCTGCCCGCGGCCGTGGCGGCGGTGCAGCAGCATGCTGACCTTCTGTTGGATGTTGTGGAGGCAGCGCTGAGTCCGGAGCAGAAGCCTGCTGCAGAGGGCAAGTGGCTGGCGGCCGGCCTGCTGGCCTGCCTCATGTTTGAGCCCGCCCAGCACTCCAGCGACGGCAGCGGCGCGGCGGCGGCGGCAGACGGCATGCGCGCGCTGCTGGCGGCGCGCCCCGCGGCCCTCGCCCTGCGCCGGCTGGTGGGACTGATGGCGGCGGGGGACGCGGCGGGCAGCCCGCAGGCGGCGGCCATGGCGGCGCTGGCTGTAGCTAACATGGCAGCCTATCGAGGCTCAGCCCAGTCACCCTCCGTCTCGCCTCGCACATCGCTGGCCGCCGGCGGCAGCGGCAGCGGCGGCCTGGCCAGCGCCGGCGGCAGCGGCAACTACGGCGGCGGCGGCAACGGCGGCGCGGCCGGTGTCGCCGCCCACGACAGCGGCGTGGGCCGGCTGGCCGCACGGGCGGCCTCCAAGCTGAGCGCTGCGGTGCTCAAGCGGCCCAGCCCGCGGCCCGGCTCCCCCTCGGGAGCCGCGTCGCCGCCAGAGGCGCCCTCGCCGCATGCGGCGGCGGCGCAGCAGCAGCAGCAGCACACCGATCCTCGCGGGGCGCTGCTTCACCACGGCGCCATGCAGCGCCTGCTGCGCCTCCTCATCAGCTCCTCCTCGGCTGCCGCCAGGGCAGACGCCGCCGCCGCCGCCGCCGCGTGCGAGGGCCCCGGCAGCAGCGGCGCCGCGCTAACGCCGGGGGCGCGGCACGCGGGCGCCGCGGCGGCGGCCGCGGCGGCAGGCGCGGCCGCCGTGCAGCGCCAGCTGCTGTCGGCGGCGCTGCAGGCGCTCAATAACTTGTGTGTGGACGCGGCTGCCGCCAACCACCTGCGTGCGTGCGTCAAGCAGGGCGGCGCCGAGATGGCTCTGGACCTGAAGGATGCGCTGAGTGCCGCCATGGGCGACCGCCAGCTGCAGCCCGCCGCCCGGGAGTACGCCCGCCGCCTGGCCCACACGCAGAGCGGGGCCCCGGGGCAGCGGCACAGCCTGGCATGCAGCTGCGCGGCGCCACCGCCGCGCCCCGCCGTGTACCCCAACCCCTAAGCGGGACGTGTGGCGGGCTGCCACGTCATGGGGAGGGTGCCTAGTTGGCCTCGTTGCTCCCCTCCCTGTTCTGGGCTGCATGTCTGCATCTTTACTTGTCCCTTTGTCCTTTGTTGGAACGATTACACACGGGCGGTATCATGATGCGATGAGAGTGGGAGGCCGGGATGTGCAGCGGGCGGGCAGGCGCCGCCTTGCCGCCCAACAAGCGGAGCACAAGGCAGCGCCTGCCAGGCGAGGGCGAATAAGCGAGTTAAACGTATGTAGGGGTGGAGGGGCGGGAGACTCGACAGGGCTTGGAACGGGATCAGTAGTAAAGGCAGGGCAGGGCATGTGCGCACACGGAGGCGCGGAGGCACGGCGGCCCTCCATCCCTTGCCCCGACATGCGCCTGGCTGCGTTGTGGTGTGTGTAGCACAGGGTGCAGGCTGCGCAGCAGTTCCTGAAAGGAGGGGGGCTGGGGCAGGGCACCGGGAGGGGGGCTGGGGTGTGTAAAGGTAAAGGTAAAGGTAAAGGTGGGGAAGAGCCTGCACAGGCTTAACTTCCCGGTTTTAACGTCTAGCTTTAGACCATTATTTGATCTGCCCGACGCGCCAAGTGCAGTACCCCCCACTAGTAGTGAATGGGTCCCGGGGAGGCCTGTGCCGAAGCCTTGGCGATTCTATTAGGCGTTCCCGAAGGAATTGGCTTGGATTGGCGCTGAGCCGGTCAGCTATGCCGCGTTTGTCCTCACAAAGTTTCGACATGGGAGGAATCGAACCTGTGCCCTCTCGGAGGGTTTAGACACTAGCTCCAGCGCCTTCAAAGAAGGCCTTTCTTAGCCGCGACCGTGTGTGCTGACGGTACTGCTCAGGACGGGTACTGCCCACAGGCTCCCCCCTCCTTCAGGCCTGCTGCAGGTAGGTCTTCACCAGGCTGCCCCACGCTGTCAGCTGCAGCGGCATGCCTATGCCGCAGCCGTTGCTGGAGAGGTCCACAAGCATGTCGGGCCTGCACCAAGCACGCGCGCAGGCAGCATGAGCCGCAGCGTCGGGCAGGTGCCGCAGCTGGAGGCGCGTGCGCCCGAAAGGCAGGCCGGCAGGAGGACGAGGCCCCGGCGTCATGCCGGCCCTCGCGGCTGCGCGGCGATGCCCGTCCCCAGGCCCTAGGGAGGATGCCACTCACGGCCATGGCATTTCATTTTTTTCTTCCTTTCTTTATTCACTCACGGGCAGCGCATGTGCAGGTTCCAGGCGGTCCAGGGCAGGCCCAGGGTGCGCGTCAGCTGCATGAGGGCCTCCGCGTCAGCCAGCGTCATGGTCTTGCTTGTGTGGGCTTAAAGTCTGGTAAAGCAAGAACTAGCTTGCAACATAGACTCCCCGCCGAAACGGGACGGGAACCGGGCGAAAGCAGAGAAAGCAATAAAACAGGGGTGGAGCAAGGCGACATGCAACGCAAGCAGCTGACAGGGCACGCATCGAAACGTGTGTATGACTGGCAAAGTGGCATGGCGCATTGGGGAGAAACGCAACGGTACGGGAGCATGGGCTGGCCAAACGGCAGTGCGGAACGCTAGGTCACTAGAAAAGCAGGGAAAGGCGCACTATGTATGCAATGAGGGCAGCCCCGGCTCGGGGCCGTTGAGAAAGCAGTGGGCGGGAGGGGGGAGGCCCCGGTGTGGGCGGGCCCCATCGAGGGGGGATGGGGCGCGCAAGCGGCCAGATGGGGCGGGGCGCGGGCGGCAGTGGAGTCCTGCGGCTGGGTGGGATATAGGGCAATGAGCGTTGAGCAGTGTGCGATGAGCAATGAGCAATGAGCAGTGAGCAGCCCCTCCCGAAACAAAGGAA